GATAGATACTGATGACCCCACAAGGGAAGGCCTCACAAGCAGTTGGTAGTAGAAAGGATATGTGATAGGTAGGGTTTTAGTTGAGGGGGGAGGTAGGGTAGGAGGGGAGGTAAAGGGGACTGGGATTGACATGTAAACCAATCTTGTTTCTAATTCAAATAAAAAAATCTGCAAAAACAGATTTTATAATGTATCATATAGAATGCAAATTATTTCCCAAGGTGAAAAATATCAAAAATAAAGTAGAACCAAGTTTAAAAAATTGGATACCTTGTATATTGTTGTGATACATTTGTTCTGGGGAGATATGAAAAAATATCTACTTGTCCCAAGTAGGGAAACAAATAATGGCAAGACAAGGTCAAGATATCCCCTTATTTTAAGATTTATCAGTTTTACTGGGGTTATTTACAATAATATGGATGGATTACTTACAAGAGCATATATCATTCAAGGAAAGCTAGAAAGAAAAAAAAAAAACATGTCAGTAATGATGGCAGCTCATGGAAACTGAAAATTTGGGAAACACTGCACAATCTGCTTGCAGCTCAACAGGGTGGACAAAGTTCAGTTGTTCTGAGACATTTACAGGCAGGTCTTCTTGTATGCCAGTGGCCCTCAGAATTCCTTATTGTTCATATATGTTTGGGGATGTAGAACCTAGGTGAATTTGCTTGGTGTCAGTTACTTCCTGACTTTTTTTTTTTTTTTGCCTTTTCTTTCGTTTTTAATTTAAATTAGAAACAAGCTTGTTTTACATGTCAATCCCAGTTCCCTCTCTCTCCCCTCCTCCCCTGTCCCCAATAACATCCTCTCCTGTCCCCTTTTGAGTTGTTTATTTTCTGAGGTTAATATATTGCCCTGAAGCATGGAATGATTTACCTCTTAGAACACCCTGCTAGTTCATTTACCTTTTAATATCTATGTTTTAATAAGCTTCCTTTCAAGACAGCTTAACCTGGGAGAAAACTGCCACACAAAATGGATATTACTTCTTATTATCAATTTGTTATTAAACATTATAAAATCATAATAAGCATTTATTTCAGGCCCCAACATTTCAAATTTTTACTTCTGGAACCAAAGACACTTCTATGAATGATATTATGCTACAATTTCATTGAACTTGTCAGGATACTTTTTCTGTATGCAACAAAAAAGGACTAATTCCTATTGTAATCAATTAGCATTTGTAGTTCCATTTAAAAGTGTAAAGACATTAACATCAGTATAACTACAAAATATTCTCAAATTTTAGAATGCTTATTTTTTTAAAATCATATTTATTTGGAAAATTATCATACTTGGAAAAGAACATTTCTTTAAGAAACTATTTTGCATAACCATACTTCATTTTTTTCCTTAAATTTGAATGTGTTTAACGTGATCATCTACCGTAGTTTCCTGCTAGATTTTGATTTCTAAAAGAGCTAAAAGAATACCATTATTGTAAAAACCATACTCAAATGAATTACACATAATGTTAGAATTGGAATCCTATGAATTTTTTGGAAATTAAAACAATAAAGTATTTTCAAGTAGTTTTGGCAGTGTCTTGATTCTATATGTTTGTAAACACATAGATATATAAACACATACCTTATAGATACTTTGAGAATTTTTAAAAGAAAATTGAGAATGATGCAGCATATTTTATTTTCAAAATAATTATAAGTTTGAAATCATATTTAGAATAAATTCACTCATATAATAAGTACAAAATTTGCCAGGGCATCTTCCATAATATTTTTCTGGAAAAATATTATAAATTATTTATGTTTCATTTTAGTAGATATATAAAATATTATTATTCTCATTGAATAAAAAGTATTACAGTTTTGTCATGTTGTTTCTATCAAGATAACGCTAGTTTCTATCAAATTAATGTTCCTTACATTTAAACTTTTGGATATGTATATCACACACTCTATGTATTTCACTGTTTAACTGTCCAGTCTATCATTTGATATTCTACTGTCATTTTTTTCTGTCCTTTCTATTCTTTCTCTGTCTGCTTTATTCCTACTATCTATTACTCTGCCATCTATCTATTCATTCACTTATCCTTATACATTTATAAGTATTATTTTCCTCCCCACAGGACACAAAGCTAGTGTCTTAAACAACAAATCCAATGTTCACACAAATCGTGGTATCACAGATTTGGCTTCTCTGGCATCTTTTTTCCACTGATGGCTAATCTGTTTTTGTTTGTTTGTTTGTTTGTTTGTTTGTTCTTCTTCACAATGTTGTCCCTCTATTCATGTACACTTTCAGAACTTTCTTGCTTTTCTTGCTATAGCAGTTTTATTACTAGGGTATCATTTTTAATTGTAGCTTAATCATCTCTTTGACACTGCCTTCTGAGAAACTAAGGAGTAGGAAATCACATAAATTCAGGACAAGCAATGTCATCTATAACAATACATGTGAAAATAAAATGTTAGAAAGCAAAACTGTGGGAATATTAGCTTATTTATTACTTCACATCAGTAAACATTGTGTCACTGTGACAAAATACATAAGACAAACAAACCAGTTTTAAAAAATAGAAAAGGTTATTTTCATTAGGGTTATAATGGTTTTAGAGATTGGTCAGCTGCCTCCATTGTTCTAGGTCTGAGATGAAGCAGAATGCCATGGGGGTGACATGATAGCAGTAGAGTTTTCTGACATCATTGTAGCCAGTAGACAAGCAAGAAAGAAAAGACAAAAGACACACATTCATAGCCATGTGTCAGTCACATGATTTCCAAGAAGCTTCCATATCTGTGACTTTAATTAATGGAGGATAGAGTTTTCATGATTCAGTTGTCTATATTCCTCACCCCCAATATTGGTGCCCTGAAAACCAAGCCCAAATTATTTTTAGCTTTAGCTTTCTCCTCTAGCCATTTCCTACAATCTGATATTCTTATTCTAATTCGTCTACACTAACTGTCTTGAGACCCCGGAAATTTAACAAAACAATTTCTTTGGTTAGCCCTTGTACCATATTTGGGTGAAAGAAAGTCATAGAAACTTGAGTACCAAAGTGAGCATATATTTTATTCATCAATCATATATATGTCTGGTAAGTATAAATTTAGTAGCATTCATTTGACTTTTATTTATAAAGAAAAAGTAGCTTTCCTTGATACACAAAATCAAGTTCATTGCTATCATTTCTACACAGCATTATTCACATTTCTAGGTAATTTGAACACCCTTCCCTAATTTTACATATACTAAAGTACACCTCCTTGGATGTATTAATGTTATTTGCTCTGTCTAGTTCCCCCTAAATTTAACATGATTTTTGTTTAGCTAAGCTACTTCTTTCTAGTAAAGAAGGAAATCCCTCACAATCCTGTTGACAAATTAGGGAAGCTCCTTCCATTATGGTCCCCCCCCCCCCGCAGTGGACTAGGACTTCTGCTATGATTAGCTGACATAAAGCTTCCTTTAATTTTAGTCAGATGTCATGTTTTGTCACATGATGAGAATGTGAACAACACAAACAGGAATAATTATAATGCTACCTTTAATAGTGAATAGGTATGTAATTGAGACAATTATATCTTCCATTGGTATTATTGAAATGCTGGTTTGATTACCTAAAAAATAAATGATTAATTTTTGTTCTTGACTCATTTCTTCCTCAAATTTTCAATAATTCACTACTAATTCTATCATGTTGACAATTTTTAAAACAGCACTACAAATGACTGGATTAGAATCCATCACAATGCTTTTATAAAAGCTATTATAAAAATTACTTTGTGCATTTCGCTGATCACTTGGAGGTGCTACCATTTCCATTCTCTCTGCTCATTCATATAGTTAATATTAGTCTTGCAGTGCTCCAAACTATGGAGAATTCCCAGTACCCTTTTCACTGAAGATATTGATTAATACATAAGATGGAAATAAAATTTTCTTTTAGTGTAGTCTCTTGAGTGGAGACACTTTTAAAAATATTTCAACACTTTTCATTCCATCACAATCTAATACCAACTAACTATGCATTCGATATTAGAAGTGAAGGTGCAAATAATGCACAGATGTATCATGCTGAGTTGTCCTTGAACTTCCCATGGACTGTCAGTTCCATCACCTCAAATGCTGCCTTGGGGGACTGTACTTGAGAAACTCTCCACTGCATATCTTCTTTAATTTCCAATTTGTCATTTACATGGAGAACAGAGTCATCACTCTACTTTAACCAAAAAAAAAAAAAAAAAAAGGATCACAATGAGAAGTGAAAGGCCAAAGACTCCAGGTATTATAGTTTGTTTCTACAGTTTGTTAGAAACAATAAAGTAGCAGAAAGTTTTAAAATTCTGTGAAGTTTAAAAGGTGTTGCAATGCTGTAAGCAATTCAGAGCTAATGATATACTCTGTAAAATATAACAGTGAGATATTTTGATAATTAATATTGTATTGATGTAATATAAGCTTGTATATACTTATATTTGGTTGTAATGGTCAGGCAGTAGCTTTTTCTTCTCAGGAAGTCTAGATTAAAGAGTTTCATTATCTTTTGCAGAAAATAGTTGCTAGAAAAGTAACTGTGCATCCTGTAGTAAATTAGAAACAATATAGACATACTTTTAAATTTTATTACTAAAAGAGTTTACTTAAATAAATGTAGTTGTATTCAATACTTTATTAGATTCTTATGAAATATTTTTATACAGCTCTGATTTCAAAGAGTTGTTTGAACAAGAGTCTTCAAAGGATATGCCATCAGTTTGCAGGAGAGCCTTCTTTCTTGAGCGATGAGATCTACACATAATTGTGATTTTAAGGATGAATGTTTATAAGTGGTTAAGTAGTATACAGGCTTATTGAATTGCTATTTGTAAGTTATTCTCAAATACCTATGATTTTTCTAGTCACCGGCAGCTGGCTTAGTCTCTTGAACCTCAGACTCACAGTTCAATCCAGGAAAAGGTGATCAAAAGAATTGAAGTTCCAGAGGGAAAAAAAATGTTGGTTACTATGTTTTTGTTTCCTAGAAATGTCAGAGAAGTGACACCCATGCAGTGTCTTCAATATGGCTGCTTCAAGACTGGGACGATGATAACACCAATAGAAATGACATGTAAGAGGAACAGCTCATCTGGATGTAACACTAGACAAAGAACTACAGGCATCTAAGGAATATTGAGAGCAAGGTAATGGGGAATGTACTTCTGTATATGTTCATCTTATTGATTGTTGAATAAAGTACTGTTTGGCCAATGAGGCAGCAAGTTAGATGGGACTAGGAGCCAAGGAAGATTCTGGGAAATGCTGTAAGGAAGTGGTGATACAGGCAGAAAGTGACATAGCAGGGAGACTCATATTTAAGCAAGGACAAGCAGGAAGTGAGCCATTTCTCCTTTGCTCTTCCCCCTGCTCTCTGCTCTGAGCCACCATGTGATCCAGGGGATGAGGATGCCAGTGGAAGGTGTCCGATAAGATAAGTCTTATAAAATATATAGATTTATGATAATTAATACTGAGCTAGCAAATGAGAAATCCTAGTTATTGGTCAAGCAGCATTTGTACCTAATATAAGTCTCTGTGCATCTCTTTTGGCCATCCACATGACGGGAGGAACTCAAGTGGGTGGCGGAAAGATTTATCGTAACAGAATGGTGTCAGAAGTGGGATTAAATCACTTATTAACTACCCAGAGCTAAGGGAATATTTAAAATGGCTTGTGGACAAGATTTTGCTTCAGTCTCTACTTTGTTAATTGATAGGCTATATTAGAAGCAGCTAGCTCTTAGGAGCCATGTCATAGCTGAAACATTAGCTATATACATTTTAGTCTTATAGTTTTACCCAACTAGAATGAATATGTGAGAAGACATTGCCACATACCACATATATTTTACCATAGAGGACACAATATAATGTGGTACTAAATTCAGGAGACCAATAATAAAAGGATACAGTATCTGTGTGTATAACACATACACACTTCGATATACTGCATTAGTGGCCTAAAATAACATCTTCATAGATACACTATTTATTGCCTATTTTACCCAGTCCTAGTCCTTGGGGCACATAATAGAAAAGGGCCCTGAGAGCTTCTCACTTATTCTCTTACTGGAAGTTTCACCCTTAACTGTCACTCACTAAAAGACTGTGCAGCTAAATTTTGGTGGTGATAACCTCATGGGAGTGTTTGGGATGGTGTCTTTAAGTCAAAAGATAATACAAAATTAAGAGATACCAACAGAAGTTGTATAAGGTTCCTCCAACTTATCCATTAGCCCAAAATCTACCCACACTAGGGTCTTTACATTTATCTGGAAAGTTGCTCTGTTATATTACAGAGCTATTGTAAAGACGGATGGGGTAGCAGATACACAGGATGACAGGGTTTTTGAATACTATCAGCTGTCACAGAAGTAGCTGACATCATAGACTTAAAAGCATTGCTCACTAAAATCTATCTGAGCAGTACTTAGGAAGGGAAAGAATAAAGTGGCATGACATTTTTGTCATTGGACTTCATATAGTTTAGGGTAGGAAGGGAAACAAAAGGAATAGGAAAACCAAGGCTGAAAATTAGTGTTGATTTATGAAGATGTTGTGAGAAGGATAATTTTCGGTTAAGTAAGAGAGACAAGGTCTTAACAATCTTAATTATTATAATTTGCACAAGAACAATTTTCTAATTTAGTAAAGGAAAAGCAGCAAAGAATAAAATAACCAAAATGAGAACAAAAGGAAGAAAGAGAAGAAAAGAAAGAAGGGAAAGGAAAGGGAAAGGATCAGAGCCAGAATGAGATAACCCATAAACAACTATTTACACCCTGGGGCTGGCTTGGAATGTTTAGTTCACAGTATTTATTCAAGTTGCTCCTTTTGTTGATTCCTCCCTGATAGCCACCAAGGGATATTTTTCTTTGAGTTCTGTGTTAGTCTGGATCTGGTCCATGGAAAGGGGACTATGGTTAAAAGGATCTGTTTGGTCACTGAGTAAATGCATCATTATGTTGGACCTGTCCACAGTGACTCTGCAAGATGGAAGCACAACAGGGTCAGACATCAGTGTGCTCATGACAGGATCCAGGAACTCGTGACAGGCATAGGAAAATATATCCCACAAGATGTTGGATAATACCAATGGAAAGCCCTTGAATCATATAGAAACAAGTATCATTATGGATACTGAGCAGGTTTAATATAATATTTATGATTTTCTATCCCTATGTAAATGTTCTTACCTATATCAGTATCTATATATCTTCAGTTAGAGAAAAGTAAGTCATGAATTTGAGAGATAGTAGGGTAGGGTATATATATGGGAGCTATTGAAGAGAGAATAGGGAAGAAGAATGAAGTTATTATATTATAATTTCAAAACATTAAAACTTATAAATTATTCTCTGGAGATAGTTTTTTCTTTGATACAAGTATAATTGTTAACTTCCCCCAGACAAGAAACGACAAACATGGTCTTTAAAGAAGTGTATAATGCATTGGCCCCTGTGTTATCTACAATCCAGAAACACAAAAGCCTGAAAATAGGAAATATCATGGTCTTAAACCCATTTCAATGATATGAGAAATTGAGCTAAGGTCAAGGTCAAGTTGTGATTGTTTTGCCTGCATGTTTGTCTATGTATCACATTGCATGCTTGGTGCCAAGACAGTCCAGAAGAGGGTATTGACTCACCAGAGACTGGAATTATAGACAGTTGTGAAGTGCTGGGAATCAAACCTGGCTCCCTGGAAGAGAAATTTGGGCTCTGAACCACAGAAATAATTCTCCAGCCGCTTCTTCATTTTTTTTGGACACACTTATAGAAGAATGAACTTAAATATTTTTTGTTAGTTGCCAGTGTTTGCTTGGGGAGTATTAAAATAGAATGCTGAGAAGACCTGTGGGCCTTAAATAGGCAATGGGATCATTTTTACCTGGATTAAGAAGACTTTAAGGTACTGGAGGAACAGCCACAAAGGGTTCGTTGCACAGGAGGAGATATTGAAAACATTTATTCCTATGTGGAATAATAATAATCAGAACAGCTGTGTGTTTTTCTTATTCTAATTGCAACATTTTTAGAATAGTGATTAAAGATGACAGATGAAGCCACAAAATGAAAAAGACAGAAAGAATGTCAATTTGTTGGTTCAGGGTATGGCAGCTGCTGCAAATGAAAGTTCTGAACAAAGTCAGAAATGTGGAGCAGGTAATCAGACTAGATGAAGATACCAGGTAGGAACTCCTGAGTAAAATGCAGGAAAGGAGGAAATTCAATTGGCTTCCTTTCCCTGCCAAGGTGTTTTCTTTTTTTCTTTTTTTTTTGTACAGTGTGACTGAGTTGAGAGGTAATATTCTTAGCTAACTTGAAGAATAATGGGAAGGCTTATCAGACATCAACTCTGCCATGAGGATCAGAGTAAATGATTAGTTCTGTAACACTGTGAGACATCTTTCTGGGGAGGAGCATGTAAGATATGTAGGGCTGATCAAACCTTTGCCTTACAAAGTTTAACACTGTATCATGCTTCATACTCAGGAAATTCTTTCACTAGCCATACACTTACAAAAAACAAACAACAATGACAACAAAGAAACCACCCCCCAAAAGCTAGGTAATGTGTCTATCTTTGGTACATGGTTAGAGAAACAACAAACAAACAAACATCATATTTGACCTTTTCCTGAAGATGACAGAAGAACAAATCTGGGAAGAGACAGTAATTCTAAATTGTTTACCGAGCGAGGAAACTGGTTTCTTAATGCAGTATTTGGCAGGTTGCATACTTCCTTTGCCTAGATTCTTTGTTTGATATAGGACAGGAAACAAATCTACTCTATCCCACACATTTAGTAAGAATTCCTCATTATCACTTTTGTGTTCAAAGGACATTTGATGTCTGCAGCAGCTTTTGAACACCAAGGATAGATACGAAGGAATACACTGATAATACTGTGAAATTCACATCAATTTAACGTCACATTTCAGATATACAGACCTATTTGAATTTGTTAAATGCCACAGATTGTACATTTTGTGTGACAGAGATAATTAGCCCTGGAAAAACTTGCCAACCTGTGATGATAGAAATAAACAGTTATTGGAGGCTCATTTGGAAGGGTCTGTTATAGTTTAGAACAACTGCTTCTGACACAGCTGCGATATTGCTGTCATTTTGCCTGAGGCTACTAGAGACTATGCAGATATTTTTATGGATGATCTTTTTTACTTTACTCTTATAAAGGTCACATTTACACTAAACTATCTTCCTTTATGCATCTCTGTTGTTTAACTTCACTGAGAAATTTAAACAAAGCACAGAGATTAATGTTGAAGGTGCCATGTGAAAGAAGTAACAGTAAAGAAACATAACACATACTGCTCTTATACAATTATTTTAGGCTAAGAATTAAGTTAAATATAAAAAAGGATTGATACATACTAAATTAAATTGAGCTTTGTGTAATACTCCATGCGTTTGAGACCGACATGGTGTACTTAGTGGAATCTAGGACATTCAGGGCTACATTGAAAGATGTTGTCTGAAACTAAATCAAACCAGACTAAACCAAACCAAAACAAGCAAAATAACCACAGTTATTTCAGAAAATCTTTAATAACAGAATAATAGAAAAAATTTAAATACAATAAAAATTAAAACTATAGTGTCATTATTATGTTGAGAAAGATTTCCATGATTTAATTTACAAAATAATAAGTAAATAGAGAAATGCTAAAAAAGTTCTAAGATTGATGTGTTACATTCTGAAATGAAAAATTTAAATAATTCATTATTAAAATATTAATTTTCCATAGTTTATAAAGTTAAGAAAGTATTAGTATTGATCACATTTTAAAATAGAAAATGAATTATTTTCTCATATTATACATCCCAAATATAGTTTCCCCTTCCTCAAATCCTCCTAGCTTTCTCCACCTCCATTCTCCCCCAGATCTATCCCACTCCGTATTTCCTATTCAGAAATGAGCAAGCCTCCAAGAGACAAATGCCAAGTAGGACAAAATAAGAGACAATGGGTCTCAGCATTCCTATTGCTGTGACACTTTATCACAGCTCCTCGTGTTGTATGACCCCCCCTCAAACACACAGTGTTATTCTCCATTTCCTCTTCTTTCATGTTCAGTGTATCTGTTTTTATGTTGAGAGGTCTTTGATCTGCTTGGTCTTGAATTTTGTGTGGAGTGATAAATATGAATATATCTGTATTCTTCTACATGCAAATATCCAGTTTGACCAGCATTATTTACTGAAGATGCTTTCTTTTTTCCTGTGAATATTTCTGGCTTCTTCATCAAAAAATCAGGTACTTATAGGTGTGTGTATTTATGTCTATTTCTTTGATTAATTTCATTAAACAATGTGTCAGTTTTAGGCCAGTTCCATGAGGTTTTTATTATTATAAATCTATAGTACAAATTGAATTTAAGGATGCTGATACCTGCAGTAGCTCTATTATTGTTCAGGGTTGTTTTCACTATCCTCGGTTTTTGTTTTTTAATATGAAGTTGAGAGTTGAAATAGCAAGGTCTCTAGAAAATTGTGTTGGAATTTTTGTGGAGATTGCTTTTGGTATGATGGCCATTTTTCCTATGTTGAATATGCCAATCCATAAACATGGAAAATCTTTCCATCTTCTAATATCTTTTTACATGCTTGAGGAAAAAGTTACTCCAAAATATTTCATATTATTTGGGAATATTAAGAAAGTGCTATTTTCCTGACTTTTTTTTCTTAGTCTATTTGTCATTTATATATGGGAGATCTACTGATTTTTGAGAATATTTTATCCAGTAATTTTTCTGGAAATGTTTATTAGCTGTAGGGTTTCTCTAGTGGAATTTTAGAATATACCACTTGTGTATACTATTATATCATCTGCAAATGATAATAGTTTGATGTCTTTCTAATTGTATCAACTTTATCTCCTTCGGTTGTCTTACTTCTCTAGCTAAAACTTTAAGTACTATATTAAATAAATATGGAGAGAGTGGACAACCTTGTCTTGGTCCTAATTTTGGTAGAATTGCTTTCAGTTCCTCTCACTTTAATTTGATTTTTTTGGTCCTTATTGGTATGTCCCTTATATCCTTAATCTCACTAGGACTTTTATCCTGAAGGGGTTCTAGATATTGTCAAGGGGTTTTTGAACATCTGATGAGATAATCATGTTTTTTTTTTTCTTTCAGTTTATGTGGTGGATTACATTTACTGATTTTCATATGTTGAAACAGCCTGAATCTCTGGGATGAAGTATACGTGATCATGGTGGATAATCTTTTTGAAGTTTTCTTGGATTCAGTTTGTGCTTTTACATCTTTCTTCATAAGGGAAATTGATCTGTATTTCTCTTTCTAAGTTGAGTTTTTATGTAGTTTGGTTTTCAGGGTAATTGTCACCTCATTAAATAAATTAGCAACTGCTCTTTAGTTTCTATTATGTGGAATAATTTGAAGATATTGGCGTTAACTCCTCTTTAAAATTCCAGTAGAATTCTGTGCTAAAGCATTCTAGCACTGGGCTTCATTTGGTTGGGAGATACGAATTACTGGTTTTATTTCACTGGGGTTTATATGTCTACTTATGTCATTTATCTGATCTTCAATTTTGACAAATGATGCTTGTCAAAAATATCCATTTTTCTTATTTCCAAATTTAGTGGAATACAGATTTTTACAGTATGTCTTTAAAGTTATATTTTCTGGATTTCCCTCATTGTCTTTTGTTATGTCCCCCTTTCCTTTTCTTCTTTAATTAATTTTGATATTATCTTTCTGTCTTTTAGTTAGTTAGGATAGGTTTTGTTCATATTGTTTTTTTTTTTACAAAGAACCAACTCTTTATTAAATTAACTCTTTGCATTGTTCTCTTTGCTTCAGTTTTATCTCTTTCAGTCCTCAAATTGATTACTTCTTGCAATCTACTCCCCTTGGTCAAGCTTACTTTTTTTGTTCTAGAGCTTTCAGTTGTGCTGTTAAGTTGTAATTTAGAGTTCTCTCCAATTTTTTCATATACATGTAGTATTATGAAGTTTCATCTTAGTACAGCTTTCATTTTGCCTCATAAGTTTGGCAATGGTGTGTATTGATTTTTATTACATTCTAGAAAGTCATTAATTTATTTATTTATTTTGACTCATTTTTTTCTTTCAGAAGAGAGCTCTTCAATTTCCAAGAGTTTGTAAACTTTCTTTTTTAAAATCTAGTTTTAATCCAAAGTAGTCTGATAGTATGTAGGGGGTTATTCTAATTTTCTTGTAGAAAGTTCTATGAGGTACTGATTAAAAAGTATATTCTTTTGTGTTTGGGTGGAATACAATCCAAAATATCTGTAAGCTTCATTTGATTTACAATGTCAGTTACTTCCAACATTTCTCTATTTAGTTTTTGTCTAGATAGCCTGTCCATTGGTGAGAGTGGAATATTGAAGTCTCCCAGTCTCAGTGTGTGAGAATCAACATGTTATTTAATCTGTAACAGTGCTTTTTACAAAGGTGGGTGATTTTTGTTTGTTTTGTAGATGTTTAAAATTGAAATATCTTGATGGAGTTTTCTGCTGACGAGTATGCAGTATTCTTCATGAATATCTTTGATGACGAGGTGTGTTTCTTGTAGGCATCAGAATGATGGGTCTTTTTAGTATCTATTTGTTAGTTTGTGCCTTTTATTGAGGAATTGAGGACATCAATACTTTCAATTTGTTGTTGTTGCTGCTGGTGGTGGTTTTAGTGTTTGTTGTGCATGTTTGTGTGTGCTTATAAGTTTCTTTTTTTTTTTTTTTTTGGTTTTGCTGAAGTTTGAAATTATTATTACCAGTGTTTTAATGTGTGTAGATAACCTCTTAAGTGTGACCTTTTCCTTCTACATTCATTTTTGTGTTGGAATTTTAGATAGATATTGTTTAAATTTGACTGTATCATGAAATATGTTATTTTCTCATTCTACGGTAATTGGGTATTTTACTGGGTACTGTACTCTGTGCTGGCATCTCTGATCTCTTAGTCTGCAGCAATGTTTACAAGCCCTTCTGGCTTTTAGTGTCTTGGCTGAAAAGGCAGACATAATTCTAATAGGTCTGCTTTTATAAGTTACTTGAGTTTTTTCTTTCCATCTTTTAATATTCCTTCTTTTTTATATATGTTTAGTGTTTTGATTATTATGTGGCAAGAGGACTTTCCTTTCTGCTCCAATCAAGCTGGTGTTCTATATGCTTCTTTTACTATTATAAACATCTCCTTTAAGTTAGGAAAAATGCACTATGATATTGTTTAAAATATTTTCTGATCCTTTGATCTGTGATTCTTCTAAATTTGTGTTCTTATAAAGTCTCTGATTTCTAGCATGTTTTATGTAATTAATTTCTTAGATTTAACTTTTTCTTGGAAAATTTATCCATTTTTATCATATCTCCAATGCCTGAGATCCTTTCTTCAATCTATTATATTCTGTTGGGAAAGCTTGCCTCTCTAATTCCTGTTTACATACTGAAATTTTTCATTTCCATGATTCCCTCAGTTTCTGTTTTCTTTGTTGCTTCCATTTCCATTTTCAGGATTTTTTCAATAGTCAGTCTTTGACAGACATAGCTTGTGGTTTAGCAAAGTGTGTCAACCCAAGTTAGGGACTGAGACAGAGCAATCTGAAGGGAAGAGCTGGAGTAGTTTTCCTTTGGGAAACACAGGAGTCATGAACAAAGGGTGGGGAAGCTTCAACTTATGTTCTCTTGAGCTAGTGGTTATTCCTGAGAATTGTGTTTACAGTAACAGTGAGTGGGGAAATCTTTACTCATCATTCTGGTCTTCTGGAGGTGTGGCGTGTCAGTATTACTTTGAGTATCCCTTTAAAATATATATCCACAGATACTCTGTAAATATCTCAGACAATTTTTAAAAATTTCCATTTGATTTTATATTTTTATATATTTACACTAAATAAATAATATTCAGGATCAGGTATTTTTTAAAAATATATAATGGTTTTGTATAAAATCTGTCAGTAATATTTTTGATGAAATGTACAGTACAAGAACAGATACTGTGATTTGTTTTTGCTATTGAATTTATGGGAATCATATTTATAAAATAACAATGATTGAATTGTTACATTTGTAAAGACAAACAAATGTCTGGTTGTATAACAGTTCAATGAAGAGAGGATCCAAAAATAATCAAAATGTTAATCATTAATGACAAGGAAATGTGAACTCCCAGGTCCACATTTTGATCTTTTCATTTTCATTTTCATCAAAGAATCAATATTCCATCTACCAGCAAGGGGTAGACACTGGCAGGCAAACACATACACACACACACACACACACACACACACACACACACACACACACAATGGTTTTTGTTTGGAGACAGAGTTTGGCTGTTGTAACTTAGGCTAGACTAAAAATCTGTGATCCTACACTGAAAATTTGTGATGCTCTTGCCTCACTCTCCTCAACAACAGACTTTCTTCTATATACCATCACAGCATCTTGAAGTAGATAGTTTTACATAATGACTCAGCTTAGCTTATACAACAGTTTGAGGCATCATTCCTTTCTACTATAAAGATCATCAAGGAGTTTTGTGTTTATACTCTAAAGTTGATCTTTATGTAGACACCACATATTGTTGCTTAAAATATCCCTTTGTTCACATTGCCTGCATAGCAATAATGACCACAGAAATTCTTATTATTATTTTAAACTCACAATTCTTTTAAAAGATTTTCTGTACTATAATAATTAAATTACATCATATATTAACTCTTATGTTGGCATCCATGTATGTGTGTGTTTAAAGCTGCTTTTAGAACAATACCATTATGGAATAAAGAAATACAATTCCAATATTACCTGTAGGTAAATTTGTATTACAGGTTATCAAATATCTTTCTTGTTATTTTGTTAATATGAACACATTTTATGTATTACACAAACACATAACAACATCACTGTGAATATTTATTGTCTAATATCTATTCATTTATTCAGCAAATGTTGATGTACCTAATTGGGAACAAGGCATGGTCAATTGATTGTGGTAAATTACAAATATAAACAACGATAACTGCTGCTCTTTGTGTTTATAATCTAGTTCAGCATGATTTCTATAATACAATAGTAAAGGAAAAAGAAACATAGGAAAGGAAGAGTTTGGGGCTCTTCTTGTCTTCAAGCTCTTATCTATTATGATAATACTTTTGTGAGAAGTCCATAGTTCCACCAAGGTATATCTGTCAGGTATATATATCTGTGTGAATGATCACACAGATGAATAGCTGAGGATTATCATTTTTTAATCAATAAGTTGGCATCAAATTTATAGGGGAAAATCAAATACAGACAAGAGCTAGAAGGACTAAGCAAAATAGAAATGATGATGATCAAGGAGTAGCAGTGTCTTTTGGGGGAGAATGGAGGTAATAAGCACACAAAAAAGTTTAATATCAATAGATTTTAAGTGCAAGTGAACTGGCAGCCCTAGAAGAGTTCTGTGGTAAAGAAGTATGTTATTCTAACATCAGAAAGGTATTCCTTCTCAACATTCCTGTAGTTGCCTGTAGTCCTTGTCTAGGGTTGAAACATTGGAAGAAATACGTCAGAAAGTTGGGAGATAAGAAGGCAAAGTTATGTGATTATAATTGTAAAATGTTCAAAAAAAGAGTAAAAAGTAAAATTAATTTTATTAAGAAGACATACATGCATAAGCATGGTATCTGTTCATTCACAGCTAGTGCCCTGAAGCATCCATTATTCACTTTGTCTGTCTGTGTTGTCACTAGTCAAAGTTCTTAGATATATCCTATCAGCAGTGAAAGATTCTAACACCCATATTTAGCCAGAAATAAAAAAGTCAGAAATGAAATTAGTCTTATTGTTTATCTAAGCAACAAATAAATGTATCCTCAGAAATATGTACATTGAGTTACAGTTCTGCTGCTATTCATCTATTGATACTGAAAGTGGATCATCTCAGTATGGAGCTGCTTAACAGTGAATCATTCACAATTCCTATACTAGGTCACTTTCCCATTTTATGTAGTATTTTAAGAGCCATGTATGAACTAATCTGTTGGATAGTAGCTGGACCTTCCTTGGTATGTTGAGCAGAAATCACACTATGTTTATACATTTTCAATGGGAATTTTCCTAAACCCCCAAGTGACAATAGTTTTGTTGTGGCCTTCTTCTCATGACTCCTTCCTTATTCAGAGATCATAGACAGTGGGACAGCTGTATAAAAACAAAGGTGCTAAAT